GATCAACCGACAAATGCCTGCTTGTCTTCAAGACGTTGAGGAAGGAATGAAAGTTCGAATGGACCGGCGAATGCGAAAAAGCCTTCACTGACATCAAACAGTATCTCGCATCCGCCTCTACTAGCCAAGACGAGTATGGAGGAGGATTTGTATGTTTACCTGGCCGTCTCAGGGAGCGCGGTCAGCTCGACGCTGGTAAAGGAGGAAGACGAAACACAACGCCCTTTGTATTATACCAGCAAGGCTCTGATCGGAGCGGAAACCCGCTACACCCAGATTGAGAATATGGGAGAACTGAGCGAGTATGATATTCGGTACGCCTCCCAGACATCTGTGAAAGGGCAGGCAGCCGCAGACTTAATCGCCAAGCTAACCCCGATGCAGCCCACAGATGACCTTGTATCTTAAGAAAGTACGGACACTACTAAATGCCTTCGAAACAAGCTCGGTCGATCAGGTCCCCCGCTCAAAGAACGCCAACACGGACGCTCTAGCCCGTCTCCATCGTCTTATGAAACCGACCTGCCTCGGACAGTGCTGGTCGAAATTATGAGCGAATCAAGCCTTGCCGAGCCGGAGATGATAGACATCGACTAGCCAGAAGTATAATCATAAAGTATCTAGAGAAGGGAGAACTGTAGGGAGATCAAACAGATGCCCGAAGGCTCCGACAACAGACCGGCCACTACCTCCTCAGGGATGAGGTCCTCTACAAAAGAGGATACTCGCTTCCACTCCTCATATGTGTGAGCCCCACCAAAGTCGGGTACATCCTTAGTGAAGTCCCTGAGGGAGACTGTAGGGACCACCTGGCTTGTCCAGCGCTCCCAAACAAGATCTTACGGTACAGATATTATTGGTCCACAATGGGAAAAGACTCCAAAGGATCTGCATGACGCTGTGACAGATGCCGGCGAACTACCGTCGTAGCTTACGAGCCTAACTACCCCCTGGCCATTATCCAGTGGGGAATCGACCTGATCAGTCCATTGCTCATAGGGAAAGGTCAAACTAAATTTGCGGTCGTCGCAGTCGATTATTTCACGAAGTGGGCTGAAGCCGAGCCCCTCGCCACCATCACCGAGCGAAACATAACAACATGCATGTGGAAGTCCATTATCTGTCAGTTTGGCATCCCAAACACCATCATCTCGGACAATGGAAGGCAATTTGACAATAGTAACTTCAAGAGGTTCTGCTCGGAGCTCGGAGCTCGGAGTCAAGCACTTCAGCTCAGCACCTATGCACCCCCAGACCAATGGGCAAGTCGAGACAGTGAACAATGATGGGACGTAAATCTCAAAGTGGAAACGACGACCTTGTTCTTGAATTTTTTAAGAACAAAAACCACAAATCAAGAAGAAAATGGAGGGGAAAAGAATTCTTACTTTTGAAGAACCGATTAATTATCAATCTAATTAATAATTAATTAATTATATATATATATATATATTAACTAAATAAATAATTAATAGTTAATTATTTATTATCAAAATAGAATCATATTATAAAACATTCCTATAGTTGTAATGTACGTCTTATGTACATTATTTTTAGGCTATAGTTTTAATATGAATCATATTCATACTAATTTTATTTGAATCTCATTCAAATAATTTATCTCGTAATATATAGTTTTAATTAGAATTAAGTATATATATTATAATGTATCAACATACATATATATACATAATCCCTCGAGTAATTTGAACTTTTCAAATTCTTCCAAAAAAACTTGATCTTCATTTTACCCATTGTGAGCTAGAAATGGTAATGAACCTACAGATCAGAAGCTCCAACGATACGAGATTAAGCAGTCAAACTCATTAGCCGAGTTAATCAACATTCGTTAACTACGGGTCACTCCACTAAACATCCGCAGTTGCACTCTTATCACTATAGAATATTTTCGTGTCCACGGATATACAACCATTAATGGCAAGTCAATCCTTCACGAGTGCTCGTAACTCAAGCTGGGTTGAATTACCATTTTACCTCTGAGTTACATCTTAATCCTTAAATACCACTGCCTCTAATGAACAAATTGGTTATGGTCCGACCAATAATCGGAAGTTGCTCTCGGGCCAATGAAAGAGTGGAGCCCCTTGTTCAAGTCACGAAGTCAGCATTTAAGAGAACATTAATCTACTCCCCAAAATCTTAGTTAGTGCATGTGATTTTCGTATCTAACACGTAGCTTTTAGTAGTCACATCAAACTGATGTCGCAATTGTTTAGAAATCAGGGACAATGATAACGTTTTCACTACCATCACAAAAATAATGCATATTGAAAATCAATAACAAAATTAATGTAATTTAAACAAAAAAAATTACAAAATTAAGGTAAGCATCCAAATACAAATATTTAATACAAAAAAATTTACCTTATAACTTTTTACATTCAATTCATTTAATTTATGTAAGTGCATATACATTGTATTATCACATATAACATTTTTAATGAAGTTTAGGTTGCATTTTATTATTTTTAATATATCAATAAAAAAATATATAAGTATTTCTATATTTTAATTATTAACAAAAATGTTTACCTAAGTTAAAAAGCATATTATTATTTTGGTTATATATTCTCAACTTCAATAAAGAAAAAAATATTTTACTAATTTGATTTCATATTTATAATTATACTAATTATTTGAAATTTTGTAACTAGGACTTTTTAGATTAATGAATGGATCTTAACTGTTTGTGAATAAAATTGTAGAAAAAAACTTATATTTATATAGTAATAGATAGTAATAGATGATGAGAGTTTACCAAACATTAGAAATTCCATCATAAATTATAATTAAATGATTTTTTAAAATAGTAGGAAAAACTTTGCATTCCAACATTTTGCATTATCAAAATTATTATATTTTGATAATAGATTAATTTATTATTTATAATTAATTTTATTAAAAATTTTGTAAGGTATTCACTTACCATATGATCAATAAGTTTATTATTTTTTTCACAAAAAATTTTGAATAAAAATTACAATAATTATAACAGAAAAATAAAAAGCAATATAGTAACAAAAAAATTCAATAACATTTAAATAAATTCTCACATTGATAATTGATTGACCAATATTTTTATTAACTTTGTTACAAAGTGAAATTGTAATATCACAAGCATAGAAACTGTGATATAGATCCAACAAGTGCTTCTCTTGCAACTCGAATATATAACCAACATCTTGAGACATCTTTGAAGATTGAAGAGTTCTTTGAGAGCAAGTCTAAGAATCGAGATATAGATCCAACACGTGCTTCCCTTGCATCTAAATATGTCACTAACATCTTGAGACATCTTTGATTGACGTGTGAGACCAAACTACACTGTAAGATTCAATAACGTTTCATTAATAAACAACATTACCCTTACACCTCCTATAATTTGAGGTACTTAATGTTCTATACCACTATGCAATATAACACTACTAAATCTATAGAATTTAGAAGAAGAAATCAAGAAATTAAAAGAAGCAAACTAAGAGAGTCAAATTATCATAGAAAAAGATGAGAAGAACTTAAATATATCCATGTAGGGAGTGAATAAGTAGGAAAACTTTTGAGTTTCTAACACCATTTTAATTACATTATTAATTCCAATTAAAGTAAAACACATGAATTTATAGAAATAAATATAAAAAAATTTCACATTCAAACTTTTCATATTCATAAATTTCCTATTTTTATTAATTAAAGTTATTATGTATGGAGTTGTCCAATCTTAAATTAATGTAAATAATGAATGAAATTTATTAACCAATTAATGGTTAATGATGTGTTAATAATTAATTGACAACACACCACCAATAGGAGGGTCTAAAAGCAGATGACCTATTTGTAATTGATTAATAATGATTGGGGCAAAATGGTCCAAAAATGTTTTTCAAGGATCTTGTTTTTAATAGATTATAGATTATAGATATTTTTATTTATTTTTATTTTTAAAATGAATTTCAATTAAAACAAATAATTTTAACTTTTATATCTTCTTGAGTTTTTTTTTTCAAAAAATATATCTAATTAAGTTTATATCATAGAACTCTTTTTAATAAATCTCATATCATATTTTTTTATAAAAGAAAAATATTATTTTAAAAATATGAGTAAAAATATATCAATAGAATAAATCATAGAAAAGTATCACATATGACAACGTAAAAATTGAAAATTTAAAATACTTAAAATTTGGGATAATAATTAGATCAAGAAGACCACAAATCTATTTTAGGTCCAATATATTAGGATGGTAGTTGTACTATTTAAAATGATGGAGAAGAAAGTTATTTTAGAAGCTTATAATTAGAATATTTTACGATGTTTTTTTTCTTATATTTTTATAATTGACATATTTGTATTAATAAAATTTTTAATTATTTCTATAAAAATAATATAGAATCATGAATTCTATTAATTTTTTTCTTTTTAAAAAAATTTGAAGTATTTATGAAAAATAAGTTTCAATTTTAGAATTGAGGTTAGTGCGAATTGAATTATATAATTTTATTGTCTTTCTTAAAATTGAAATATTTTTATAATAAAAAATATAAATAAAAAATAATTGGAGCTATACTTCAGCGAACCACAATAGAAAGAAGTAAATATATCCAACCAAAATCACAACCAATGCATGCTATTTTCATCTCTAACACGTGGTTTTTGGAACTCAGTAGCTGTTTGTAAATCATGGACAATGGCAGCGTTTCCACTGACATGACAACCAATTTCAGTACTTTCTAGCCTCTATTATTTATATAATTATTTTTAAAAAGTTCACTAAATTATTATTTTTACTAATTTATTATTTTTTAATATTTTTTGTATACTTTAAAATAAACTACATAAGATGCACGTGTTTCTCACAAGTTGAACCAAAATCGTAACCAATGCATGTGATTTTCATCTTTAACAGGTAGTTTTTAATGGTCACATCAAATCGAAGTTGCATTTATGTATAAATCAAAGGCAATGACATCTTTTTCAGTAACATCACAACCAATTTCACTACTTTGTAGCCTAAATGCTCTCCCTCTGAAACAATAACCTCTCACTCCCTCGAAAACCTCTCAACCTTCAGGTGATTTCTTCCTCTAATTGGATTGCTTATTTTTATCCTTCCTCTATTGCTTCTAATTGCTTTCTAATTTCTTTTCAATATCTGTTTTGGTTTTTCGAACATAATATATATTCGGAAAGAAAACCATATGTTTTTTTTTCTTTTTCTTTTAATAATTCTTTTGACGAGTTTAGATAGACATATTGAGATTTAATATTATTTGCATTATTTTTGTTGGATATCTGTGGTTTAGTTTATTATTTCACTTTGCTGTAGTTTAGTTAAATTAAATATATAACATTAGTTTATTATTTCCCTCTAATGCCATTGATTATTTCCATGCTACTTCCAATGTTTATGTCGTTCTAGATGATTTCTTTTAATTCTTGAAAGTGTTTATAATAATACGATGCTTTCTTGCGTTTTCTTTTATAATTTTCTATATAATGTTGATGTTGTCTCCTTAGTTATGTGGAAATATTATTGAATTATGTTTTCTTGTTTTTGTGGGGAATATACCTGTTTATTATTGATTTATTTTTTTATAATTTTTGTGCGGAATATCCCTGTTTAGTGTATCTATTTGATTCCTTATTAAAGAAATTGTGTATCTGGCAATCTTCTAGTTGAAATGAAAAAGAGGAATAAGCCGCGAACAAACTATGTTTATGCCTCTATACCAACGCAGCGGATGCTCTTCGACAAAGAAATATTGAACTCGAAAAAGTTAATTTTATGGATACTCCTATGCCAAGTGAGTATTATAGACTGAGTTTGTTGGTTGATTTTCATTGCTAATGAAGTGACGAATTAATGAAATTCTCTTTTTTCTCAAAAAATGTGACAAAAGGAACATTTTTCACAATATCAAGCACCAACCGATACTGTTTTGTTTCTTTGCAACGAAACTAATGTTTGTCGCCAAATATAAACGGTGTTGTTTTTGTTGAAAAACTTAACTGAGTATATATATATATATATATATATTGTTTCTGTAGGCAAAGTCTGCGAAAAACAAGGATCGGATCCAACACAGTATCATCCGACAAAAGGTCGGATCGACAAATCCAATAGTATTTCATGTGTAAGTACTCATTTAATGATGCATATATAAGTACTCATTTAATGATGTAATTTTAATGATAATATCTAGTCAAAATTCTTACTTAATATATTTGTTATGGTAGCATAAAATGGTGTCATTAGTTGAAATAGCAAAGGAAAATGTCATGAATCAAGCGAACAAGACGCTATGCAGACAATCTTTGGCAAAAGTTTATCCTACAAGAAGAGGATGAGATCTGGTCCGAGACCACAAAATACCAAAGAGGTGGCTGAGATCTGGTCCGAGACCATAAAGTTAAAAAAGGTGGTTGAGATCTCGTCCAAGAACACAAAATAAAATAGAGGTGGTTGAGATCTGGTCTAAGACGACAAAGTAAAAAAGAGGTGGCTGAGATATGGTTCGAGACCACAAAGTAAAAAAGAGGTGGCTGAGATACTCCCAAGAGTATGTTCAGACTTTGGAAGCTCGACTTGCAAAAACTTAAGAATCACTATAGAGTGAACGACATGAATTCTTAGAGCCACAACGTTTGGCGGCTGAACTTTGGTGAAGTTCTTTCCTTAATATTGTTATTGGATCTTGAGTGCATTGGGAGGTATGGTGCCTAATGTGAAATTTGATTTAGACTTTGTTGGAGCTTTTGTTTTTTGTGCCTGGTGCGTCTTATGTTTGTTGTTGGAGTTTGAAACATTTGGATGTGGAGTTTGTTATAGAGTTTGTTGTTGCAGTTGGAGAATTATGTTTTGTGTTCCATGTAAGTTTATTGTTGGAGCTTGAGAAATATATTTTTGCTCTGGTGGATGTGAAGTTTGTTGCCATAGGTTGAAATTTTGAACGTGCCTTATGTTTGTTGTTGGAGCTTAAGCTTTTGAATGTACTTTATGTTTTGCTTTAATATTGTTAGTGGAGTTTGAAGCTTTGATGCTGTAGTGTGAGGGGTGGAGTGTGCGTGGGGTGGTGGGTGGGATGAAGGGTGCATTGAGTATGATATATAACACATTTTGACGTGGGGTGGTGCCTAATGTGAACTTTGTTTTAGACATTGTTGTTGGAGCTTTTGATTATCGTGCCTTATGTTTTCAATCTATAGAACTTGAATGTGAATTTTTGAATGAAAATTTTGTTGTTGGAGTTTAACTAACATTTGGATGTGGAGTTATTATGGAGTTGGTTGTTGGAATTTGGGAATTATGTATTTTTTCCATTTGAAGTTTGTTGTTGCAGCTTGAGAAATATGTTTTTGTTTTCCACAAATGTGAAATTTGTTGTTGAATATTGTACTTTGGAACGTATCTTATGTTTGTTATTGGAGCTTTTGAACTTTTGAACGTGTCTTGTGTTTGAGCCCAAAACAAATAATGGAATGGTAATGTTTGGAGCTTGAAATTTTTTGAATGTGAAGTTTGTTTAGGAGTTTGTTGGAGTTTGATGTTGGAACTTATATTTTTTAACGTTAAGTATGTTTAATGACTGTGTCTTTATGTTTTATTTTGTTATGTTTTTGTTTTTTTTAGGAAACGTGTCTTATGTTTGTTGTATTATGTATTGTAATTTTCCTCACATGTACGATTGAACATAAAGTTTTTTTCTTAATTTAACGACGAAATAATGAAAATGTCGTTATATTTAACAATAAAATTGTATAATGTCACAATACATACATACATATGTATATACACACACATACATACATATATACACACACATACATATACATATATATATTACATACATACATTTTAAAACCGTACTCCACGTTTGTTTCTTTTTTTCTCGAGCCTATCAAATAAAAAGTGACATTGAATTAACTTTTAGGTGCATATATATTTTCTATTTAAAAAATGTTTTATTTCCTCCTTTTATTGCCATGGATCATTCCTCATATTTTTATTATATTTTGTAAATAATTTCTTACCATTTCCATTTTTGTGTATATAATCATAATGACAAAAAATTTCATCACCTTTTTTGGAGTTCTTATTTTTTTTTTCACAATTTACGATTGCTCCATTTTCGATGATTTTATACTTATTTTTTTAAACATCCGATGACTTTACATTGGTTCACTATTATATTGTTTGTCTTATGGTTATTTTTTTTTACTTCCCGCTGTTTTTAAGTTTCTCAAACTATACTTATTTTTTTTCAAACATCCGATGGCTTTTACATTGGTTCACTATTATATTATTTTTCTGATGGGTTTTATTTTTTTACTTCCGACCCGTTATTAAGTTTCTCAGACTCATAACAATGGCTCAATTGTTCTGTCGTGGATCTAATTTTTTTCAGTGATCCATTAGTTTTTCGACAGTTGAAAATTATAGCGATATTAATATAATATAATTTCTACTCTATTATAATTTACAGTATGATAAATATATATTCGTCCAAAATATTAATATATACCTTTTATTGGTATATACTAAATTATTAGGTTATATAAAAATATACTTTTTAAACTAACCTATAGTATGACAATAATATACCCACCCAACATGTTAATATATATTTTTTAGTGGTATATACTAATTATTAAGTTATATAATATATATTTTTTTGTCCCATGTGTTATATAACATACCCACTTTATTAACATTTCTCTGATAAAAATTCTTCTTATTTTTTGAAGAGTTTTTTATGGGGTTGAGAACTTTTACAATAAGGTTTTAGAAAACCAATAGGAACTGGTCGAACCATTCGTGTTTTTTATGATCCTTGGTTTTTTCATGCTACGACTTTCAAGTCTTTATACCTCCCTCCTCCCCACTCGAATAGAGACCTATTAGTGAGTTGGTTAAAGGGAGATGGAATGAGGATTTGCTTCAGGCTATGTTTATTCAATATGATATCCCTCTAATCAAGCAAATTCTTATTAGCAGATGGATTAGACAAGGCAGTTGAACGTGGCACTATGATAAAAGTGGCATTTACATTGTTAAATAGTGAATATAAGACATTCATGCTCAAAAGGATAACAATAGAATCTCCTAACAGTAATTTAGATTGTCATATGTGGAAAAAGTTATGGAAGTTAAACATGCCTATAAAAATCAATCATTTCTTATGGACGGCTATACATAATTGTCTACCTACGAGGGAGAAATTGGGCAAAAAAAGGGATTGATATTTCCCCTTTTTGCCCAATTTGCAATTGAAAAGTGGAGGATGTTTGTCATGCTATATTCCAGTGTACTCAAACGATTTGGATCTGGACTGTGTGTACCTGCGATGCAGGTCGAGACCTTCTCTCATGGAAGTTTTGTGGATGCTTGGCTTCACTTATCCAAGTCCCAAACGCATTAAGATCTGGAATGAGTGGCGAAAAAGTAAGTGTAATCAGAAATCAGTGTTTGATATCCCAGGGAAATTTGAATAAATTTTGAAGTACCCTGCAGAATTTTAGGGTTTAGGGTTTGTGAATGGACGACGATTAAATCAGCAATCCATGGATTCACCGGATCTTCAACCTCCTCAAAGCTCACAGGAGTTACCCAATGCCGAGTGGATCTACATTCGTATTAATGCTTCTTGCAATCTGGGGCTTCCTTAAATAGGAGTAGGAGCTTTAGTTCAAGATAAAGATCTGAACATCATTTCTGCACTGTCCCAATTTGTGGATGTCGGATTCTCACATTTGCATTCAGAATTGGTGGCCATTAAGGAAGCTCCCCACCTTGCTCTCTAGTTGGGGTTCCATCAGATTTGCCTGGAGTTTGATTGTCTTGAAGCCGTGAAGCTTCTTGCTTCACATATGGAAATTTTGGGAGAGTCGGAGGTTTTGGTTGTCGACATTCATAGGCTTCGAAAGAGTTTGGGAAAAGTTAGTTTCAGCCATGTGCACAGAGATCAAAATACAGTAACCAACTGTTTGGCGAAATATGCATTGTTTACTAAGCTTAATTGCCTTTGGAACTCAAATTTTCCTTCTTGGGTCTTGTTTCACCATGGCCCATTTGGTGCTTCTGTTGCCCAAGTGGCAAGTATTTTTTAATGAAGTTTCTTTTTCTTTGGATTTCAAAAAAATAGAAAAGTATACCCATCAAGTAGGTTGTATAATATATATTTCTTATTGGTATATACAGTTATATAACATATACATTTATTATAATTTGAAATCTCCCACTAAATGGCCATTGAAATCGTACAAAATGCTGAAGAAATCACGTAAAAAATCAGGTGAGTTCCTTCTCGTCTTTGGTGAAGAAACGTCGGTGAACGATCTAAAATATTGGAAAGATTACTTAGTTTTTCATCGGGTGTAGCGGTGAATGACTGCTCGAAAAAAATTAAAATATAAAAAGCTAAAGTATGGAGCTTATTGTCGATGGCAGTGAATAATCGCTCAAAAGACCACTGAAAAAGGAGATCCAGCATTGAATAATTACCAGAAAAATAGCTAAAAACTAGAGCTTCTCATGCGACAGTGAATATTCGATGGAAAACACTATAAAACAGGATATTCTCGTTAACTGCCGGAAATCACTAAAAACTAGATCCTTTCATTGGCGGTAATGAATAGTCAGTAGAAAACATATTAAGATAGGAGATTTTCATCAGCGGTGGTGAATAATCATCTAAAAATTGCTAAGAACTATAGTTTTGCTTGACGAAGGCTCTTTCTTCTCTATGTCTTTTTTGGACAGGGAATCAATTGTTAGCTTGGTGTGATTTTGTAAAATATGGTTGAGAACTCTTTGGCCATAAATCAAAGAATATTTTATTAAAGAAAGTTGATGGGTTTTTTTGGATGGAAACCAAGATTTGTGCCATAGTTTTAGATGCTACCTTAATTTTTTTAATTTGTTTATAAAAAAAGTATATTACATGGTAGTTTAATAATTTAAAATTTGGCTTCTTCACCAACGGGCTCAACTATGGACAAAATTATCAATTTTTATAGATTTTAGACATTTATGTAATTAAGATCTAAAAAGTAGTTTATTTGTGTAACTATCCCAAAATTATTAGAGACTTAATCCCATACTGATATGAAAAATTTGAAAGTGCATTAGTTTGTAGTTAATATTAAGTCGTTTAGATGGAATTTATTGTTTTTTCTTTATTTTGATTATACTTATTTATTCAAGTAATCTTTTATTAGACTCGATTTCTATTCACTATAAGAATTTTGAGTTACACTAATGAAACTTCTCCCGACACATCCAAAAGCGTCGGCATTGTCCACTTTTCCCAATGCTTTCTAAAAAATGTTGGAAAAAGTACCTGAGTTAAAATAACATGTCCTTTTTCGAATGGACACTACAAGAATCAATTATAATTTGTCGCCATTTCTCCCAATGAAATGGCATTTCATTGGGAAAAGTGTCTTACGCTGAAGCAACTCAAATTCGTTGGCAATGGTCTGTCTGGCGACCTTAAGTTATATATTTATGTTTTGTTTTTAATGTTCAATTATGTTAAAGTACAGTAATCCATGCTTGAGTTCTTACACTTTTACTTATGCAAAACTGGTTCTAATTAAACATGCCCCAAAATCTCATATGTAAATACATCTATTAGGAGCTACAGTCTATGTTTAAAGAATACAAGGCGAAATTACATGACCACTACAAAGGATTTGCAACTCTTGAGGAAGCTTGTGCGAATCCAGCTCCTCGTATTGAATGTGAAGACGATTGGGAGCATTTATGTTGGGAGTCACCAGAGTCAAGGTACAATACTTCTTATCCATCCAACCATTGCATATGATATAAATCATTTGTTCACCTATACTAAGAATTGGTAATTTTACATAACTGATAATTTCTCATAACTTATTTTGTTAATATGTAGCATTACTTATGTTGGAATTGACTATGTAATTAATATCAAATGCAGAAAGCAAAACAGGGTGTTGAGATCAACCAAATACTATTGTTTAAAGAGACAAGACATCATCCAACGAAGAGGTGAATAAACCCTAAAATTGGATCCATGTATGTAAGTTTTATTTCGTCAATTTTGCTTAGGGAGTACGTGTCATCCATGTATAGTAATATATTATCATATCTAAGCCATAAATGCATATTGAAAGTGTCCAACTGAAATAAACACCTCCCCTAGAGGATTACAACCCCTCACATAATTGACTGTTTGTAGATAGTAGAGCAAGCTCATTGCAACCGGTAGAATTGACACTAGTCATTCAACCATACAACAGAATATAGAACAAATAGCTTATACTCAAGAAGCCTTAGCCGAAACTAAAGAAGAATTAGCCCGGACTCAAACAACCTTAGCCGAAACTAGATCATAATTGGCTGCTATTAAGGAAAACGAAAATGAATTAACGTATTGTGATATGTTATTCTAAGTAAACCATAAATGCATAAAATTTTGGTCCAATTGAAAGAAGAACCGATTCCAGAAGATTTCAACCCCTCATAGAATCGGTGTTTATAGAATGATATTTGGTCATCGATTAGTCTATATCGTAGGGATAGGTTGGGCCTCAAAGCTAAAACCATGTAAAGCAAGCTCATCACAACTAGAAAAATTGACATAAACCATGACAACCATATAACAAAATACAAAAGAGCTAGCCCAGACTCAAACAGCCTTAACCGAAAGTAAAGAAGAATTAGCCTAGACTCAAGCAACCTTAGCATAAACTAGAAAAGAATTGATTGCTATCAAGGAAAACAAAAATGAGATGCGTGCAGAGTTAACTTCATTCTGACAAGTTGTTGAAAGTTTTGCTTGTAATCAATGGAGCTCAATATTAGACCCGTGATCAGATAGGTATGAATAACCTACTTCTAATATTTTTTAAACATGCATATAGTTTTGAGGCTGGTTGGATAGTTGTGACGTGACATAGTTGTGTAGCTATCATGCAGTGATAGTACGAAGTTACGAGAGTTGATATTTGTGGTTTGAAATAGTCATGTGTGGCTATCCTGCAGTTATGGTAAGTTAAAGAGTTAGTTTTGATATTTGTGTTTCGCAGAGTTTGTAGGATTTGAAGTGTATGTTTGATGAGTTTGAGAGTGCAAAGTTGTTAGGAATAAACTGAATAAAGATGTGTTGGTGCAAGCATGAAATTTTGGCTTTATATCGCAATATCTTTGTCATGTGTTTGAAGCCTCAAATTCATGCTTGCACCAACACATGTGGCAATTGTATTATGAAAAAGTCATTTATTGTGTAATATAAAACATCATATTTGGCTATGCGTGTAGCTACTACTTATATTATGGATTAGTTTGCTAAAGAACCATGTGTTGGTGCAAGCATGTTAGAAGGTGATAAGAATAACACTAAGAATTTGACACTAGAATTGAGCATGAACCTTGTGAAATTTTGAATAGGGATTGTCCTACAGAAGACCAATAAACCCAAGTCATGTATTGAACCTTCCACATTAGAAGATTAAAAGGTGGCTAAAGTATAGAGGTATAATGATGTGTTGTTCTCTAATGATATATCATAAATGTTGAAATTGCTTCAACATAGCATATTAGATAACATGGAGTTGAAGTCTTCTTTTTAAGGGTCGTAGTTGAAGAAGAAATAAATGGTAAAAGTAGTGAGGTATGTTGCTCACTTTTGATGTATTATTGTCATGAAGAAATTATGCTTCTAAGAACATAGAATTGCATTCACATAGCCTTCTTACATCTTTTATACGCTTCTAAGAAATGATAAAAGAAAGTGTATATTGATCTATATATGTATGTTTATGCTTGTAGGTGTGCAGATGTATAATTTTAAAGACTAATTTTGGAAAAATATCAACGTAGAAGAAAAGCAATGCCTTGTTTTGTTTTATATGCTTCTAAGACTCATTTTGCTAGTGGCTTACAAGCTGTATAAAAACAATGGAGGCGTTGGCGATTATTGAAGGGCTTCAGAACATAATTACATTGGTGGCTTACCCGATAGTTGTTGAATCCAACTCTTCTAAAATCGTTAAACTGGTGCGGTGGGAGGTGGAAGATCTGACTGAACTGCAATATGTGGTGGAAGAAATCCAACAGCTTAAGTGGTCATGGTTGTAATTGTCATTGACAAAATTGAAAGAGAAAGGAATGAGTGCTCCCATAGATTAGCACGAAGGGCACGTGGATTACAAGAGTTAGACTGTTGGAATGTGTCTATTCCTAGATGACTAGAAATGTTGGCCAAAACTGGATGGTGTTGGCCAAAACACGATGTGGTGTTTGTTTGAATGTTTTCTTCTAAAACAAAAAGACCCATTTTGCTAAAGTATTATTACTTCATTCTTACTTCATTCCTTTTCTATAAGAATATTTGCAGTTTAAAAAAATAGACTTTTTACCGTATTGTTTTTGTGTTAAATGATGAAATTTTAGGTATAATATTTAGGTTCCAAAAAAACCCAAAAAAAAAAATGTATATTGGCTAAGCAAATGCGAAATATGGGGACGTTTTGAAAAACATCAAGATATACCACACATCCCGACATTTTGAAAAGCATCGATAGAAGTAGTATATTTCTACACTTTGCAAAACGTCGAGATAGATCAACTCTGTCGACAATTTGTCAAAGCATCAGCATACGCGTTGTATATCTCGATGCTTTGAAAAACATTTGAGATATATTGCTTATGTCGATGATTTTTAAAAATGTTGGCATATGTGTTATATCCCAACGTTTTGAAAAAACGTCGGAATATACCGCCTATCTTAACATTTTGTTTACTTTTGTCGGCATGGGTCTCCCAACGACCCTATCTTGACAAAATATTTTCTCCGAGATAAGTTTACCTGCCGTTGTTTTATTGTTCTCCTGACGTTTTTTGGCGTCAGCAGAAAGAACATTTATAGTAGTGGCGTTTGATGACTTAGGCTGACGTTTTAAAAGCGTCGAGAGATGTCTCAAAAAACCTAAAGTCTCTTCTTCCTCCGAGTTGTTTACAACCATCCCCACAAGATTTGTCATTTGCTGGTCTAGTCTTCCGCTCCCTCCGTTGTTCTCTATGTCGCCGGCTGTCGTATTCATTAAACAGACATTACATACGCCATTTACAGTGGCGTTCCAACATAAACAAAAGAAGAAA